AATATATAAGGGTAATTCAGTAGTAGGAACATATTTGGATTTTTCAAAAGGTGGCTGATAAGCGATTATTAATAGACTAATGATTAAGATCAGATTAAGATCAGAGCAAATGGATTCGGTATGATTTCTTCAGAACCCTGAAGAGCCAAGTTGGACTTGAAATGTTAACTCTTGTTTCTCTTTCCACAGATGCTGCCAGACCTGCTGAGTTTCTCCAATGTTTTCTGTATTTGTTTTAGATTCCCAACATCTGCAGTGTTTTGCCATTACTAGCAGAATGGATTGCTAGCTGGCTAAAGACAGAAAGCAGAGAGGGGACGAAAGGGCGACTATTCACAGTGACAAAAGGTGGAGTAGGTCATCACAAGGATCAGTGTGTTGGAACCACTGTTTACAACAACTTATATTAAATATTAGAAGTTAGTAGTGAATAAAACAATTTCAAAATTTACAGACATCATCAAATTGTGCGGGGTGGGGAGTTATTCAATATTGAAGAGGATTGAAACTTGTGGAATGGCCATATAATTGGTGATAAATTAACCCCAGTGACCAGGCTAATAAAGTTAGCTTTTAGTCAACATCACAAAAACTGATGATCTGGCGACTGGCTCATTCCAATGGTAAACCGGCTGACATGCTTCCTGCATCACAGCCTTGACCACACTTCAAAAATAGACTGTAAAGCGCTTTGGGAAACTCTGGGATCGTGCAAGGTGCTAGATAAACACAATCATCCTCAAAATCAGGATTCTTCTCAGTCTTCCTGCTTTCCCCATTGGTCCTTCAGCTCTGCAAACTTAACATCCAATATAAACACCACTGCTAGTGAGTTCCACACTCAAACAACTCTCCAAAAGTAAAAAAAACTCTGTAGTTTGATCTTCTTACTAAAGAAAGGACAGAATTGCATTCAATGTAATTCAGTAGAGGTTCATTCAATTGATTCCTGGGATGTTGAGGAAAGCTTGGGCCGTTTGGGCCTGTATCTGTTGGAGTGTAGAAGAATGAGATGTGACCTTGTTAAAATATATCAGCTCCCAAGGGAAACCTGACAGGGTGGAAGCTGAGCTGATATTTTCCTCTTACGGGAGAAATTAAAATGAGGGCCACAGTTTAAAACAAAGAGTTTTCCCATTTAAAGTGCACAGGAGCAGAATTTCTCAGGTGGTTATCTGTGGAATTCACTTCCCCACAGAGCAGTGGAGGTAGGGTCACAGAATACAATTTTTTTCAAGGCTAAGCTGGGTTGACTTCCTTTTAAGTCAAGAATCTAAGTTTATAGACAGAGGTAGATGGGAATGTGGAATTGAGACCACCATCAGATCAGCTGGAATCTTATCAAATGCCAGAGCAGGTTCAATTCCTATTTCATATATTCTTATGTATGCAATCCTCATTCGTGTGCTGACTCCACATTGTCTACAGGGCAAGAGGAATCTAAGCCTAAAAATCGAAGAATCCCACTTCTGAAACAACAACAGGGCTACGTACGATACATGGCACTGAAATAGGATGCTTGGCACATCCAAATCTATCATTGTAACCACCTTCAACTCTTCTCCCTCAAATGCCAGTCCAACCTCCCCTTAATGAGAGCAATAATATTTGCTTCAACCACTCCCTGTAGTAGTGAGCACCACATTCTCACTGCTGTCTGGGAGGTTCTTGGGGACCATCTCATTTTGATGGGCTCTAGTTATGCTCTTCCCCACAACAGGAAACATTCTTTGTCTACCTGCTTGATCAAGACCTTTTCTAATTCTTAATAAATCTTTGTGAGGTTGTCCCTCAGCCTTCTTTCATTAAAAGCAAGGAGAGCTAGTTTGCCTGGTGTCTTCCTTACAAATCACCTCTAGTGGCTTTGTAACCATGTTATAATATGGTGACCAGAACTGCTCACTGACTTCAAGGGCGGTATAACCAAGGTTCAGTGCAAGTTCAGTCTAATTTCGTTACTTATAACAGTATCCCTCTAAACTTGGTTTGTATTTTTGAGTCTCCTTAATCTCAGTCAGAAGTAATTGATGCATGTGCACCATGAGGTCATTTTGCTAATCCACCCACACCATGCATCTTCCAAAATGATGAGTGACCTCTGTATTATTTTCTACCAAAATGTGCTACCTCACATTTATGTGAGTTGAAATACATGCAAATTATTTGTCTGCTCTTCAAGCTTATAAATACCCCCATCCATCGTGGCAGAATGCTCGCGTCACTGCCTCTGAACCAGGAGGCTCAGGTTCAAGTCCAACTTGCTCCAGAGGTGTGTAATAACATCGCTGAACAGGTTGATTGGAAAATATCTATAAATGCTCTCCTGTAATTTGTTGCAAGTCAGTGGCCAGGAATTCTACAGCAAAACTCCCCTAGAGCCTGTCCACTATTTACAAGACACAAGTCAGGATTGTGATGGAATACTTCCCAACAATATTCAAGAAACTTAACACCATCCAGGACAAAGCAGCCCACTTGATTGGCACCACATCTACAAGCATCCACTCCCTCCACCACTGACGCTCAGTAGCAGCAGTGTGTACTGTCTACAAGATGCACTGCAGAAATTCGTCAAAAATCCTCTGACAGTGCCTTCCAAACCTATGAACGCTTCCACCTAGAAGGACAAGGGAAACAGGTATATGGGAACACTACCTCCTGCAAGTTCCACTCTCAGTCACTCACCATCCTGGCATGGAAATATATCATTGTTCATTTGATGTCACTGGGTCAAAATCCTGGCATTGCCTCCCTAAGGGCATTGTGGGTCAACCCACAGCAGATGGACTACAGCGGTTCAAGAAGACAGCTCACCGCCACCTTCTCAAGGGCAACTAGGGATGAGCAATAAATGCTGGCCCATGAATTAATAATAATAAAAACAGTCTTCATCAGTTCTGACATTCCCCTCTCGCATTTGCTTTAGTCTACAAATTCAAAAATTCTGCTTTTGATCCCAAAATCCTAGTTGCTAACCTAAGTCCTGATCCCTATAGAAGACCACTTCCTGTCTTCTGCCACTTTGAATAACCACTCTTTATTCCTATGCTCTGCTCTCTGCCTTGTACCTTCTGTCTGTTTGGAAATTTTGAGGTTTCTGTCACTAGATGGCAAGAGAGTAGTTCGTACTGACATTGTAGTCTTGCCTGCTGAATGCACAAGCAGAATAGGCAAATCTGATTCAAACAGATTTTGATGTAAGTGTATTTTACGGATCCCGATCCATTGAATGAATTTCTGCCCATTTAAATTTCATTCGCACAAGAAAGTAGAACCAGCTGGTGAATCTCATAACTTGCTATTCCAGAAGGTGCAGGTTTCAAAGGCTGGACTGAACTTCAGAGAATTAAAAAAAAATTTTGTCTGTGATCGTGGTAATGACACAGCACAGATCTACTGTGCTACACCCTGACTCCAAGTTGAAATCCACGCTGAAGGCAGGTAAAAAAGTCCCAATTTACCAGAATACAAGACCAATCAACTCAATCTAGGTGCCAATCTACCCAGACTCCAGCCTCAAATCTACCCACTCTCCAGGTCCAAACCCACCCAGTCTCCAGGTCCAAACCCACTCAGTCTCCAGGCCCATATCCACCCAGTCTCCAGGCCCAAACCCACCCAGTCTCCAGGCCCAAACCCACCCTGTCTCCAGG